TAGCTTTAAAGCCCTTCATGACTCACATGCAAAATACCTTCTGGAGTGCCTTTGCCCATATATTCTGCCTAACCTCTTAAGGTCCTCTGGGGGTGACCTTCTGAAGCTTATCTGTAAGATGAATGTCTACTACCCAGAGAACTTTCTCAGTGGTTGCCCCTAAACTGCCAGGGGAGATACATCAGATAATTTTATTTATTATTTATTTTATTAAAACATTTCTATGCCGCCCCTTGCCGAGGACTCGGGGCGGCTTACAACATCAAATAAAATACAAAATACATTAAAACAATAACAATTAAAATATATACAGTAAAATAAAATAAGCCGCCCTGGCCGAATAAAATTCAATAATATTAACATTTAAAATGCTGCTTAAATAAAAAGGTCTTCGCCTGGCGCCGAAAAACAAATAACGACGGCGCCAGGCGGACCTCTCTGGGGAGCGCATTCCATAACTTAGGCGCCACCGCTGAGAAAGCCCTCCTCCGAGTAGCCACCCTCCTAATTTCCTTCACTGAGGGCTCCCGGAGGAGGGCCTCTCCCGCTGATCTCAGGGGGCGGCTGGGCATATCCCAGATTGCTACCTTCATGGGGGAGTTAAAGATGTATCTTGGTATCTTAGGTTTTGTTTTTTCTAATATGCTTGTTCTTGGTTGAAATTGTAACTATTGTTGGTTTTAATCTCTCATAAACTACCCAGAGCCTCATTGCTGTTGTTGTTGTTGTTAGTCACGAAGTCGTGTCTGACCCATCGCGACCCCATGGACAATATTCCTTCAGGCCTTCCTGTCCTCCACCATCCCCGAGTCCACTTAAGCTCACACCAACTGCTTCAGTGACTCCATCTAGCCACCTCATTCTCAGAGCCTCTGGGAATGCAAAAATCAAAATGAATGCATGAATAAAATAAGTAGGAGGGAAGGAGGGATCAAGCAGAAGCTCGCTGGAACTGGTCTGGCAGGCATTTGCCAAGTCTTTTCCTCACAACTACTGCTCATACCCACTTAGGATAGGAGAAACTACCCAGGAGGAACCTGACTCACCTGGTCCTGTGAACACCTGAGTCCCTTCAACTTTTAGTCTACAGGTTGACATTTGGACTTTGTAAGACTCCCAGATCAGCAAAGTGGCATCTCCATCTGAATACAAAGATGCTGCATGGAACTAAGATGTTATGACTCAAATGAAAGTAAGGAGAGTTGAGCATCATTGGATACCTGCCAAGCCCTGGTCCCCCACCACCCTCAGGAAGCTCCTGCTTAGGCTGATCATGTGTCCTCCTCTACAGAGGAGCGCTCGTTCTCTATTTGAAGGGCTATCAGAGAACAGTTTTCGAAGGCAGATTGAATTCAAAGAGGCCATTCTGGTCCGAGGCCATTCTGTACCACCCATCAGCACAGTGATCACCTGGACACCCAGATCACCATCCTCCCCAGTATGGGGAAATGTGCTGTGTTTCTATTTATATTATTGTAATTATTTCCAAATGTGTGGCTGTGCATATGCTTGCACACAAATAGACATGAGGGAAGGGGGATTGAGCAGGTGCTTATGGAAGTGGATTTTGCAGAAACCAGCCGGGTCTCTTTTTTCATGCACAGAGGGCCACCCTGAGGGAGGAAGTGGCTGGGTAGGAAGGTTTAAACCCCAGCCATGCACACATGGTGACTCTGATCCAGGTAGAACTTCCATGTGCTTACACAGAAGTAAGAAAAAAAAGTTAGAACCAGTTACATACTTTGCATTTAATGCAGATAATATGGAGTTTACCCCTGATGTTGTAGAATTTCCATTACAAGGAAGTACACTCTGATCTTTCCCTGCCGGTATTCAGGCACCAGGCAAACACAGTTGTATTTCGGGGGAAGGGGGGTAGTGTCTGTGTATTCATAGGGTTGAGGTGGGGATTTCAATTTAATTTCTGACCAGCAGTTTTGTTAGGTTTTGCTGCTCACTTAGCCATGGCTGCTGTGCTTCATTTGTCTTCTTGAAATCCTTTTGTAGTGACTATTTTAACATATATTGCGGAGCATACGAATTTGTTAGCTTCCTTGTGTGTTTTTTTAATTAAGATGCAGGATAGAGAGAAGCACACAGGGGTTCTACACAGTGAACAGACTTTGGGGAGACCCTGGTATCCTAATACTGTGAAGCTGCTGTTTTGAATATGCTGTTTTGAATATGAAGCTGCTCAGGGGTCTCCATGTTATGTGAGACTAGCCAGTGTGGGTTTTGGTAGGGTTAAACAGCCCCCACCACATATAACCCATAGCCTGCTTTAACGCTGTATGAGGTTTCCATTTGCATCCCCTGCTCGGGAGGGCTTGTGTCATGTGAACCCATCAAACATGGATTATGCAAGGATTAAACAAGAACAGGGTTGTACAGCCCTCGTATAACCCAAGTGAGGACAACACAGGCAACTTGGTACCGGAAGGCAGTACCTGGCTTAGTCTAGGTTAAATAACTCACAATGAATCACAGTGTGTCACACAGGCCTGGTCTGTGGCTACCCACCAGCAAATTCCATTCAGCAAAAGTACCTTCTAAAGCTAACTGAAACCTTCCTGTGCACAGGGTCAGCACCTTTTCTTATATGCCTGTCCAGTATGTTGAATTGCCACTTAATTGCTTTTTGGTTCCTTAGGATTTGTCTCCTATGGGGAGATATTAAATGCCCCTTTTCCTTTCTATTTTTCCTTTTCTTCATTTTCTTTCTTTTATAGTGGAACCCGCCCCCAAATAAATGAAAATAAATTAGCAATTTAATATAACCCCTCTCACATTCATAAGGGGCAAACAGGGATTAAATAGGGAAATTAAGAAGTAATTCAGCAATAGTAGCCCAGCCATGCTGACCAAGCAGGCAGTAAAAACAGGTAGAACTTGCAAACAGGAAGTGCGCACTTTAAATTTAAAAGCCCTAACAGGGCAATGCTGCAGTTGGGCTTCATAGCAAAACAGTTGCCACAAATCAGGACTGGAGGGTGGGGGAAAGGATGGCAGAACAAAGCAGCAAATAGTGGAAGGCAACCATTTCACAGTGATGTTGTGTGGTTTCATCATAAAAAGTGAGTGAAGAAAGGATGAAAGAAAAAGGATATCCTCTGGTCAGCTGCATTTGCCTCTCCTCCCACTGCCAAGTTCTGTTCATGTTTCTTACCAGCATATGCCTGGAATTAACTAAAGTATTGTATGATATTCTAGGTAGCTTGATCTATTGCAAGAGTTAATAGTGTGTCTCACTCTGATTCAAACAGCCAAGGAAGGTCAGATCAGGACAGATCATCTTTCTGTATGGGACCCAGAAGCTTTGTAACATCCACTTCTGCTGTAGCTGCCCTTGCCGAGGAACCACGGGAACTTTTCAAACCCCACTCTTTCAGAGGCATCTCTCTTGAGCTGGCCCTTCAGTTAACAGCTCCCACTCTTCCTCCTTCAGTCAGTCACTCACTCTTTCTTTATTGTGCAATAACATCTCCAGACACTTCTATGGTTTCCTGGGATGCAAAGGCAGGATTAGGAAAGCACTGAATGTTTTTAAAGTGATTCCATATGGTTCTCCAGTGCAAGCAGAAGCTTAAAATGAGCTTCCCGTTCCCCCAGTGTGCACTTATTTTTGTAGACAATGTAAGATCCAGTTATTTTTCCCATAAAGATTAGATTGGCAGAAAATAAGAAATTTTGCCTGCAAGAGCCATAATGTGGGCCAGAACAAGGAACACCCAGCTGCCTGGCTCAGACTCCTCTCCAAGCATATCCGCTCCAGGGGAATAAAGAGGAGAATTTATACCCATGACTAGTTTTGCAGGATACTGGCCAAGCACAATTGAAATACACAGCCAGCTCCTTCTCTGTACAAGCCCCAGAGTGCTTTGTTATGGTAAGAAGGGCAAAGACATGGTTGGTATTCTGATGCAAAGGGCTAGTACAGAGCAAGATGAGCACGCTGGTTGATTTGGCACACGCTGGTTGTGTCTTGAGCTCGCAGGTCCCTTCCTCCCTGTCCTGTTTCCCCCTCCATGCTCTGATTTTCATTCTTACTTCCCTGCTTGGGTGACCACTTAAAAGACTAAAGATATTACCCATTTCCTCAAAAGAGGCCTATGGTGTGCATAAGATTTACATATTTTAAAAGGGAGGCACTGGTTTACATAGAATTTAGATCTGCTCGTTTATATGGATGGATGCAACTCTGCACATAATGAGTTTTAGCTGCATCAAGTACACTGGTGGATCAAGTACCTGTGCTTCATAGGGTGACAGGAACCCTGCTGAATGGGGTGAGCTGTGGTGGAACTCCCCAAAATCAGGCAGAATCAGGACCTTTTGTGGTCAGATCTTTTCTTCTTGTGGAAGTCAAATCTTTGACCGAATCACTATACTAAAATAGAAATACGGAACACCTCCATCCCTAGTAGGGAGGTTCACATCCTGCATCTGTGTGTGTGTGTATTGACCCAATGCTGACCTGATGCTAAAGTCTTAAATACAAGGACAGAGAAATTTGGTATATAAAATGAGGGGAGCTGGTGCAGAGTCTTTGAGAGACATTATTGTGGCAAAAGGAAAGGGGGATTATTTTAGTGGAAAAAATCTCTTTGTGAGTAGCATTGTGAGAGCCAGTTAAAACAACAACATATCATTGTTTGACCTGGTTCAGTTCTCTCTGAAGTACCACCAATTTCATATGGGAGACGCACTTATGAAAATGCCTCGTTGTCAAGATTGTGGCCCACCTCAAACACCTCTGTTTGTAGGCTGTTGGCATAGGCTCATTTGCACCACATGACAGGACCGGATGACATCAGAACATTATTGTTTGAAGTCGCATTAACTTAGTTGAAGAAGAGTGAGAAAAAAAGGAGAGAAAGACACAGTAGCAGTAAGAGGAGGACATGAGTTTTAGTACAGAAGCACAGATTTTGAAGAGGTAGGGAAAAGATATGGATTTGGCAAGCAGCCCACAGATGGTATTCTAAATTGTGTGTTCAAAGGATTTCTATGAAGCCCTCCTAAAAGCACTTGGAGATGAAGATGACAATGACGACGAAGATGCAAAACTCAAAGAGAGGTTGAAAGAGATCCCAGAAATCTACAATTTGCACCAAGAAGTATTGGGAGAGTTGGAAGAAAAGGTTACCAGCTGGTAAGTGATTTCCCCCCACCCCCATGGGCATTTCACTGCCTTCCTCTACAGGAGGCCCCTTTCTCACTGTGCTGTGCATCTAAAAAGGGAAACTGGGGGATGCTGGCAGGCCCAACAGGGAAGCCCCACAAGCCAGAGGTTCCCCCGCCTGCTTATTATCAATCTCACCCAAATATGATACTGTTACGTTACCAGCTCCTTTCCAGGCCAAATTCAAGGTGTTGGTTTTAGTAGTTAAAGCCCTGACTAAGCAAACCTAGACAGTGTCTAGCGAGCAAAAGGATTTTTCACATTTCTAGGTCCCACAGAAAAGAGCTCTGACCTTGGATCTGGAGATCTCAGCTCTGACCCTCTCTGCTCTTGCAGCCAGCATGGGAAGAACCACACTGGTTGCGTCTCTGAGCAACCGTCTCGTAACAGCAACTTCAGGAAAGGGATTTTGGGAGCCTTCTGGGGTGGGGAAGAGCTGCAGTGCCACGATCAGTGAATCCTGGCCGCACCTTGGCTCCTCGGCTCTCCCTCTGCAGCACCACAGTTACATGGCTGAAATCTGCGGAGCCAGCGGAAGGAGTGCAGAGGTGAAGGCGGCCTCTGTGGGCCTCCCACTCTGTCTGGGAGGCCCACAAACCTCCAGGAAGCACTTGCAACTGCACCCAAACTGCATTTGCCTGGCTATCTAAAGGACTGCCCGCCTTGCTGTAATCCAGTCCACATATGAGGCTGTGCAAGAGTGGCCCTGCTGAGGGCCCCGTGTCCTGCACGGCCCAGTTTGCCAGGCCCAGGCAAAGTCCTATGCCTCATTCTCCACTCTGCAGTGTGCTCCCTCAAGAGTTACACTTGGCCCCCACTAGTTCAACTTTTAGGAAGGGGGTGAAGACATATCTTTTTAATTCAGCCTTTTAAATTATGTAGCTGCTTTAATGCTTTAATAGTCTACTGTTTAGAATGGCCTGGGTTTTTTATGGTTTTCAGGTCTTACTGTATTGAATCGTGGTGCGTTGCCTTAATGGCTTTTAAACAAATAAGGCAGTATATAAATATTAAGATTTCTAAAGAAAAAAAACCCAGAAAGAATTTAAAAAAATAATAAATGGAATCTATTTAACATCAAGACAAATGGAGCCAACCAGCCGTAGTTGGATCCAGGTTTGCTCTGCCTTCCGCTAGAGAAAGGCCTTTCCTCCTAGAATGCCCCCGTCCAATTTATGTGGCTCTCCTTCCTTCCACATCTCACCCCATTCAGCAGGGTCTCCTGACTCTGCACTGCACTTTCAGGGCTACCCAGGGGAGAAGAGGCAGGGAGGTTCACTTCCACCAGCAGAACTGATCCAGATTAAATCTGAATCCAGCCCACTGTGTTCTGCCATGTGTGCAATAATCCCTTTGTAGTCCTTGGCAAATGTGGACCACCACATATAGTTGGTGGCATGTGTTTAGACTGGTGTATTTCAGGACTTTAATGCCTGCAGCAGAAACAGAAACTGTTCTTCATGAGCCATTTGCCCTGGGTCATGTCATGAAAAGGTTTAGGGCTGTGTGAATGAATGATGTATGTGAGCAGCATGGAATAGGACTGAAGGAGTTTTCCTATTTCTTTGCTCATTTTTCTGTGGCTGTAGGGATGTGGTGGTGCAGTGGGTTAAACCGCTGAGCTGCTGGGCTGGTTGATCAAAAGGTCAACAGTTCAAATCCACACAACCGGGTGAGTCCTGTTGTTCTGTCCCAGCTCCTGCCAGCCTTGCAGTTCAAAAGCATACAAATGCTTGTTATTTGTTTTTCGGCGCCAGGCAAAGACCTTTTTATTTAAGCAACATTTTAAATGTTAATAGCACTGAATTTTATCTGGCCAGGGCGGCTTATTTTATAATGTGTGTCTTAAATTATTATGATTATTTTATATGTATATTTTAACTTATTGGTTTTATTTATTGTTGTAAGCCGCCCCGAGGCTTTGGCGAATGGGGCGGCATAAAAATGTTTAAATAAATAAATAAATAAATAAATAAATAAATAAATAAATAAATGCAAGTAGATAAATAGGTACCACTTGGGTGGGAAGGTAACAGCGTTCCATGTACTTTGGTGTTTAGTCACGCCGGCCAGATGACCACAGAGACTGTCTGCGGACAAGCGCTGGCTCCCTTGGCTAGGAAGCGGAGATGAGCACTGCCCCCTAGAGTCAGACATGCCTGGACTTTAATGTCACGGGGAAACCTTTACCTTTTTTAGGGAAGAACATCAGAAAGTGGCCGACGTTTTCCTTTCCCGAGAATCAAGGTTCTGTCACCACACAGCTTTCATCATGAAGTTTGACAAGAATTTGGCTTTGCTGGATGAAGCCCGACTGAAATCTTCCCAGCTGGATGCTGTCATTCGAGAATTTGAGGTATGGCTCTTTGCTCACACTAATCAGTGGCTGTACCACAGGGCTCTTGCTCTCCCCTTCCCCTCCCTATGGTAAAATGTTCTGTTTCATCAGGAGTTGGACTGGGCATGGAGGGAGGTAAAGGCATCTCAATCAGGGATGGTTTTATGGATGGCAAGTCTGGACAAATGCAAGGGCACGTTAAGGCTATGTGTACACCTTCCTGTGAGCATATGCATGTAAGAAGAATGCGTATCACCTGCTCCTTTTATGCATCTAGTATTATTTCTTATTTATTTTATTTAAGAGAATTTCTGTGCTGCTCTTCACTTCAAGCTGTTGAATGCCTTGTGATAGAAAACAGGCTTAATCTGGTACTGGAAGGATAGTAGGTTGGTACCGGGAGAGCCTCAGTGGGAGGCTTGCTCCATTACTGGTGGGTGCCACTGAGAGGACTCTGCTTTTGTCATAACCAGAGGAGGCACCTGGAAGAAAGCTCTGAATGTTAATTGTAGTATCCCAGTTGATTACAACTGGGAGAAGTGTTCTGTCAACTATTGTGGTTCCAAACCTTACAGAGCTTTATAAGAGCATCTTGAATTGGGCTTGGAAGCATATAGGCAGCTAATGCAAGTAGGCCAGGATCAGTATTCAGACCTTTGGGTCCTGATTATTAGTTTTGTTACTGCTTTTTGCACAAGCTGTAGCCTCTGAACAATCTTCAAGGGCAGCCCTGCCTAGCGTACAGTGCAGTAATCTATTTTATAGATTACCAGACCATGGATTACTGAAGCCAGGGTATCTCTGTCTAGATAGTGGTACAGCTGAGCCACCAGCCAAAGCTGGTAGAGGGCTCTCCATGTCACCGAAGCCACTGGAACCTCAAGTGACAAAGAAGGTTCAAGGAGCACCCACAAGCTCCTCTAAGGGGAGTGCGACTCCATTCAGAACAGCTAGAATAACGTTGTTGGTCAGACAGATTTCTTGGCAAACAAGAGTGCTTTCAGTTGTCAATGGAATGCTGCACACAAGCAGCTCATTAGATATCAGTTGGATGAGAATATTCCACATTTGGTGCTTAACAACAATACAAGCCTGATTTTTCATTCTTACATCCAATCAGGATCATAAAAAGAAAGCAGCAAAAATTCCAAGAATGACTAGCATCCCACCTTTGATACTAGATCCTTATGGATGATCCTGTACATTTCTGACTCCCTCTGTCCTTGCATTCCTGTAACCTGGCTTTTGCTAACTGATTAGAAGATCAGTTATTTCTCCTGTTACATACATTTGGTCTTTTTCACGCCTTGATGCTGTACCTAGTATACCACTGGGTAAGATCAGGCAAAGCTGCTCACCGAGACTTCCTTCTGACAACACACTACACCCTTGCTAAAAACCCCCCTGTAACGTGAATGCGAGTAAGCTATCAATCCAAATTAGGTGATGCACCATATAGTAGACAACAGAGGAAGCCCATGTGGCTTCACAAAAAGCTAAGAGATATTCTGAAAACAAAAAAGGACATGTATAGGAGGTGGAAGGAAGGTCCTACTACAAAAGAATATAAGCAAGTATATATAAGAATATATAGCAAAGAACTGCAGGGCTGACATAAGCAAGGCTAGATGGATGAACAAACTGAGACTAGTGAAGGGAGCTAAAAACAACAAGAAAGCCAAAGCAAAAGACAGACAAAAGAGAAGGGAGTTCAACTATTCAATATGGGTAGAACAAAGAACGAAAAGGCAGAAGTGCTCAACTCCTACTTTGGCTCAGTCTTCTCCCAGAGAAGAACTACATCCTTTCTGACAAAGGTGTAGTACAAGCTGAAGGAGCAGGACAGCAGCCCAAGATTGACATGCAAATGGTCAAGGATCATCTAAATTGGGCACAATGAGTTCAAATCGCCAGGGTCTGATTAACTCCATCCCAGAGTTATAAAAGAACTAGTGGAAGAACCCTCAGCACCCCCGTCTATCATCTTTGAGAATTCAGGGAAGGCAGAAGTGCCAGTAGTAGAAGGGCTACTATTGTCTCTATCTACAATAAAGGGAAAAAAGGTGAACCGGGAACTATAGACCAGTCAGTCTAACATCAGTTCCTGAAAAAATTCTAGAGAAAATGATAAAACAAGCCGTCTGCAAAGACCTTGAGGACAATGCTGTAATTACTAGAAACCATCATGGATTTCTCAAGAACAAATTCTGCTAGACAAAACTAATTTCATTCATGGGAGTAACCTCCCAAATGGACGGTGGGAATGCTGTGGGCATAATCTGTCTAGACTTTAGCAAGACCTTTGACAAAATGCCCCATGACATCTTGATTACCAGACTAGTTGAAAGTGGGCTAGATAGCGCACCCATTAGGTGGAAGCACAGTCGACTGCAAAATTGGATTCAAAGAGTGCTCAGCAATGGCACATTCTCAAACTGGGGGAGAGGTGACAAGCGGGGTGCTGCAAGGTTCTTCCTGAGACTGGTCCTCTTCAACATTTTTATTACTGATTTAGATGATGAAGTACAGAGAAAGATAATTAAATTTGCAGACAACACAAAGCTGAGTAGAATGGTAAATACCCTGGAAGACAGAGATAAGGTACAGGATTATCTTGATAGGTTAGAACACTGGGCAGAGAACAACAGAATGAAATTCAGTAGGGACAAATGCCAAGTCCTCCACTCAGGAACTAGAAACCAAATGTGTCACTACAATATGGGAATATTTGGCTCAAGAATACTAAAGGGGGATCATGGGGTTGTTGTAGATCGTGTGCTGAATATGAGCTAACAATGTGATGCAGCTGCAAAAAGGGCAAAGGCTATTTTTACTTCCAAAACATGTGAAGCACTAGTTCCGCTATACTCAGACTAGTCAGACTGCACCTGGAGTACTGCATCCACTTCTGGGTACCTGAATCTTTAAAAAATGCACAAAAGCTAAAAAAGGTACATAGGAGGACAACAAGCAGGATTCATGGACTGGAGGCAATGCCCTTTGAGGAAAAAATAAGAAAACTGAGCATGTTCAGTTCCAAGTAGAGACGACTGAGAGGTGATATGGAGAGCCAGTGTGGTGTAGTGGTTAAGAGCCTGGGACTGGGACTCAGACGATCCGGGTTCGAGTCCCTGCTCAGCCATGGAGCCAGCTGGGTGACTTTGAGCCAGTCACAGACTCTCAGCCCAACCTACCTCACAGGGTTGTTGTGGGGATAAGCTGGAGGAGGAGAATGATGTAAGCTGCCTCAATAAATAAAAGATATGATAGCATTCTACAAGTACCTGAATGGCTGTCACAAAGAGGAAGGTCAGGATCTCTCCTTGTCCATTCCAGAGAGCAGTACACGGAATAACAGACTTAAATTAAAAGAAATCAGAATTAGACTAGGCACCAGGAAGAATTTCCTGACTGTCAGAGCAGTACCACAATGGAGCCTATTACCTGGGGAAGTTGGGGGCTCTCCCTCACAGGAGACATTCAGAAAGTGTGTGGACAGTCATCTGCATGGGATGGTGCAACTAGGTGTCCTGCAATAGCAGGGGGTTGAGCCTGATGGCACTCTGACTCCTTCCAACTCTACTTTTCTGTGGTTTTATGATTCTAAACCTGAGGACTGTCTCACTCCTTTTGTCCCTGCCTGATCTATACAATCATGAGAGGAGCAGCACTGAGTCTACCACATGCTCTGGAGGGTCACCTCAGGGACACTTGCAACAGAGCATTCACAACTGCTGCACCCATCCTCTGAGTGCTTTGCCAATTGATATCATGCAGGGATCAGAGTCTTGATGTTCAGGTTTCTTCTTAAAATTCATCTCTTTCCGGAGGCTTTCCCTGAAAGTGTGTGCTTTTAGTACTGATTAATTGTATTGTGCTATTTTTATTGTTACACTTCTGGTTGTTTTTATGCCATCGTGTTTTATGTTCACCGCCTCAATATGTTTGCTGAAAGCACAATGTAATTCTGAATAAAAGTTAAATTAAATAAATGCTTCACCATTCCCAGCACTCTACTACTCTTCCTACTTTTTCATACCACCACCTCCTTTTATTCCTAAACAGAACAAGCAGAGCATTAGTAGGAATGCTACGCTCTAGCAACCCCTTTCCCATCTTGGTGCCTTCCAGATGTGTTGGAATGCAACTCCCATCACTCCCAGTCAGTATGGCCAATGTTGTCTGGAAATGAGGGGAGTAGCAGTCCAACACATCCCAAGGGATCAGATCATGTAAAACTGCTATAACATTAGTGATGTTCAAAACCCTTCACAGTCTTTTCCATTTTCAGTGAGGGACAAAGGCTCAGTGCTAGCCCAGGACTACTCAATTTATATTGGAGCAGGGAAGCTGAAGTCCTGTATTCAAAACCCATGTCGCCACTCCTCTTCCTTCTCCTGAGTCTCCTCACATATACCAACAATTGGAAGAAAGGACAGTTTCTCACCATCGAGCTTTGGAAAAGGCAGAAGCAGTAGGAGCCTTTGGACACCCAGGCTAAGATATGAAATTGGAGACCAAGGCCTTCCTCTCCCCCAAGTTCATTGTGCCTGACACAGAGGATGTGCATCAAAGGGTTGGTTTTTCACTGGCATGGTGAGGTACCTTTTTCGTCAGGGAACTGGGAGAAAGGGAAGTTGGGCTGGTGACAGCCCCCAGATGGGGAGAGGGGGCCATCATTGGTGAGCTGATGCCTGGCTTGTGAGACCCAGGTGGTGCAGTGGTGCTAAGAGGGTTGGACTGGGACTCAGAAGATCTGGATTCTGGTCTCCTTTTGGCCATGAAGTTTGCTGGGTGACTTTGAGCCAGTCACTTCTCAGCCCAACCTATCTCATAGGGTTCCCATTGTGGGAATCTGCTGGAGAAAAGGAGAACCTTGTAGGCTGCCTTGAGTTCCATGCAAGAGGAAGAAAGGCAAGATATAAATGTAATGTAATAATAATCATCTTATTGCAAGTCCAAATCACTAAATTTCTGTATAGCCCAGGACCAGTGCAAGACATTTTGCTGTCTGAAGT